CAATAGCCTTTTCTAATTCTAGAGGTAAAAATTATCTATCATGATTGATTTCCACTTATCTCATTCTTAGTGAATTTAACATTTCCTAATAAATTTACTTTATTTTATTTTATTTGATACCTGGGATCAAACTGAGGCCTCGCACTTACCAGGCAAGCGCTTGAGCCACTGAGCTAAATCCCTGTTCCGCCTTATAAGTTTATATACCTTTTGAATTTTTTTCATAAACTGCACACTCATATCCTTTGAGCTGATCACTTTTGAAGTTAACATTTAACATTAAAACGATGACTATAATAATAGTTGCAGCTAACATGAATTGTACATGCTAGCAATTGTGCTAAGTAACTGATATATATTGATTTTCACAACCTTGTTATTAAAAGTGACTTTATTGATGAGGAAATTTAAGACTAAAATGTGAGATGACCTGATTAGCATTATACAACTTAGTTAATGTTGAGCTGGGATCTGAATCCAGCCTGACTCTGAAGACCACCAAAAGTAATCATATTCAGTAACTAGAGAGGCAAACAAGTTTAGAGACCATAGAAAAACTTGAAAGGTAAGACCTGAATTTACTCAGGTAAGTATTTATTAGGACAAACATATCCAGTTCAGAACTGTTATTTGAGCAAATTCAGCTATTCTACTAATTGAATAGCTACTAAGAGGGCAAAGGTTCACTAAATGTGCTGGGGATTTTGAAGGACTGCTTGACAAGCTCATTTCCAAAATGTCAACAAGTGTGTCACTTCAGATAAGGCTGATTTACTTTCAGATGGAAATTCTGTGAGTTTTGAGTTTATCTGAATTATATATAAATTTTAATCACTTTAAGAAGAAATGTTGAAAAGGGATTATGGAGAACCTAAAAAGAGATGCTTTCAGTAATTTCTTTTCTTTATAGTAGATGCTTTCCAGTAATAAATAGTACTCAGAATCAGACTTCCATTTTTTCCTAATGTCATCAAATATTTTTAGAAAGGGCAGCAAGTTTCCCTCCCTCCTTTCCTACGCCAGCCCCAATCATTTTGGCTATTACCTTCCTTGGCACATTTTTATTTTCCCCAAGCAGTGGAGATTTGGCAGGGCAGCTGCAGCTTTATGACGATGACTCCTGTACTGTGGGATCAAAGTTGCTCTCTGAGTAAGTAGGCGGCTGTGCCTGTGGCAGTGAACCAGGCGCAGCTCCTCAGAAGGAAAAACAGACACAGGATTAAGTGAGGAGCCCACAGGCTGTACGAGGGCTTTGTCAAAGCCTTGGGAAGATTCTGTCTTCTCCAGGGCTGGAGCAGTGAGGGGCAGACAAGACAGGCAGATCTGTTGGTCTTCGCAGGGTGGAGACAGACTGGAAAACTCCTCTATGTACTAACACTGCTTATCAAACAAATGAAAATATTGTTAACTGATTCCTGTATTGACCATCAAAACTTTGAGGTAGCAAACAGATCATCCGTGAAAACGAAATCACAGCGAAGGCTGGGGAAGCCTGAAACACTGCAGAGCCCTGATGAAGGATAGCTCTAAAAGTGGCACCAGTGTCCCCAAATGGTCCTGCTGTGTGGCTTGGGAAGAAGACAGGCATGAAGGACGTCCAGTGCTTCGAGGCTGCTGGACTTAGCCCCTTTCTAAACACCAAAAGGATGTGTATTTTTAAGAGGCCACTTTGTCCCAATAAGGTTGTTTCAAAACTCCCCTATTCAATCATAAATTTATGAGAATTAGTGTAATAATAATTCTCATAATACAGCTGGGAGTATAGTGCTTAGCATGCACAAAGCATTAGATTCAATCTCCTGCACTGCCAAAAAATAAAATAATAATAATTCATATAATAAAAATAACATTAACAAACCTCACTATATCCCCAGCATTGTCCTAAATGTTTTTTTTTTCCTAAACATTTTTTTGTGGGGCTAGTGTATAATAACTTTGAGGGTTGATTTTATCTCCACTTCACTATATGCATATGAAATATTGCATTTTAAGGGTATTTATGTTATATTTAATAATGTACTTAGTCACGTCTCCAGGGTGACACAGCTAGTTAGGGATAAGCTTGAGAGGCAAATCAGATCTGTCTCATGGAAAATAACAAGAGTTTAATTACTATGCTTTCTCTTCAGCACAAGGCAAGAGGGTTTTGTTATAACTGTGTATCAGGTTTGCTGTAACGTGTGCTACAGATACACTAACATATACAGTATTTCTCTCACCTATCCTGCCTTATCTGCTTAGTAGTATTTTCTTCTTGTCTTTGTTTCCTTATTTAGTAACTAGTCGCTTCCATTTAATAGTCCTTTTTAAAGACTGGAAGAAAATGAGCAAAGAAATGAAATAAGCAAGTGATCATGTAGATATAGATTTTAAAATTCAAATATTTTAAAACTTGTACTCATGGCCAAATACAAACGCAATTCTAAAGTAAAATGTCTTAGGTGTTTAGTAATATATTCCTACACTGAAGCATTGAGTGAAGATAGGAAGCAGAGCATTTGGTGTACCTAAAATGGTATTGCCAATAAATTTTGTTACCACAATTGGATTGATCCCTTTATTTTGACATTCTGTGGGCATTAGGTAGAACAAGCCCTGTGGGAGCTCGTCAGTCAGCACAAGTGACTAAGACCTTTGCTACACATCTTATTCATGAACTCTCCTGAGAGCAGAGTGCTCACTCACAGTGATTAGTTCATGGGTCAGCCTGAATCATAAGAAAAAACGCACCTGACTGAATCACCAATTCCACTTCCTGTAGCACCTGGTTTTCTTTGGACAAATGCCATTCATGAACATCTCAGCCAAAGCCTCTTTTAGCTCCTGAAATATGATAAGGTCACAAGCAGAGGAGTGTGGTAGTGAGAGTCACTAGAGCATTGGTGTGCAAGAATCAGGAAATCCAGCACTATCTAAAACCAACACATGTATATCACACAGTTTTATGATGGATGGCATCATATAGTTCCCCTTCATTTAGACAAAGCCATTTTATTGGGGCACTGGAAAGCAATGCAGGAAACTATAAACATATGAACTAGTGGATACTGAGGTTATTACATTTCAAAACGATTGACGTACATGTCTGATAAATGTGTCTGTTGGACTTGTGAGTCATCAATCCCACCTTCATCCTTGTATGGGAATTGTCCCACTCACCAAACAGCCCGGAAGCGTCTCAGGGACTCCTTCCCAAGGCTGAGCACTGTCTCCTAGCTTCCTCCCTCTAGATTTGTGAGGGAATGCTCATCTATGTGAGCAGTGAATAGTTACTTGAATGAATGGCCATTAAAGTCATGTTTCTGTTTCAGTTTGAGGAAAACAAGAAGAGGGAGGGGACATAGACAAACTCATACTCGTTTGCATTTATCATAATGAAAACTCTGAATGTGAAAGCTGTAGAATTAAGTGTGCCACTGGGTGAGCCATTCCTCCTGAGCAAGTTACATGATCAGTTCACAGGGACTGGTCCATACGTAAGTCATTTACAATGAGAAACTCGACCCTCGTGAAGGTTGAAATGATTGAGCTGGCACTTCAGTATACTTTATCCCCTCATGGAGCCACGAGGAAAGGAAGTCTTCTAAATGTTGCTTCTTGAGGAACATGGATGGAATCACAACAGGTGGACAGGGCTGGTCTTTAATAAAAAGAGCCACTCAGGCAATGAAAGGGGGATTACCAAGTCTCCCTCTATCATCTTGGCTTCTATGACTTGGTTTTTTCTAAGTCTCAAGGGTAGCTGTGCACTGTGATCAAAGAAGTACTCTCCAAAACAGGAAAGGAAGCATATATTTGGGCATTCATATGCTGAGTTACAAGGTTACAATCACTCTGCAATCCTTTTTTTATAATATTTCCCTTCAGTCTGTGTTGACTTGTGTGAATTGTTTAGCTGGGTGCTGTGGCATATACCCGCAATTCTAGCATTCAAGGCCTGACACAGGAGGATGGCTGTGAGTCTGAGGCCAGCCTGGGCTACATAATGAATTCAAGACCAACCTAACCTACACAGTAAGACACTGTCTCAAACAAAAAACAAACAAACAACAGCAACAACAAACAAGTGTCAATCATTAAAGAAAAATAGTTTCCAGCTTCCCCATGTTGTTCCAAAACTTTCCACTCAAGTATAGACAGTTAACATAGCCATTGTGTAAGCATTTTCAAATTTTAACATTAAAGAAAGTTACATTTTAAGGAAATTAATATCTCATTTTCAAAATCTTGGGTGATAGCTCACCATCATTCCCATATTCTAAGATTATCTTTTAATTTCAGCTTAAAATCCACAAGCAAAAAACAACTCAAAAAGTAAATATTTAATCTAATATATTTTAATTTATTATACTCTGAATTATTTTTAGACCAGTACACACACATCACGAATCCCCACACAAATGGAAACTGATTGAGTACGCTTTTCACTATTCATAAAATCAACTTTATCAACAAGGCTTTATCAACTTTATCAATAAGGCTTTGAAGAAAGAAAATGCCTGACCAGGGTCTTCCAAGCAGAGATACCAAAATCTTTGCTCAGCAGCAGCAAACCACACTGCTAAATGGGTCACCTGACTGTATCGTCTGCTCTTTTTCCTGTTTTGTGGACAAATTCTTATTTATGCAATTATGGCATGTAAGTACTAGATGAGACCTAAAGAAATTCTAGTTAAGCCTTCTGCTTCAATCCAACACCACATCAGATTACCTAGGGCTTTCCTCTTCAATTCGCAAAGATTTCCTGGACCAAAGGCCACAATTTCCCTGCCTAGTAAGTTCTAGAGTTTAATCAAGAAGTTCTTTCTTGTGTGTAAATATAAGCTTTCTTGTGGCAAATTAAACCTATTTCTATTTCTGATCACTATGGGAATAAAGAACAAATACCTAGTTCTTTAATAAATAACATTCCATAGACTTGAAAACACTTAAATTACCCCTAATTGCTTTTTTTCCAAATTAAATTCCCCACAATCCTTTAATTTTTTTCATCTATTTTATTTCACAACATTTTAATTACATTTTTTCTCTGGGTACTTAACAAATTTTTTAAATCCCATGTAAATCATAGAAAGATCCAACCATTCTTAAAATACTATAATAATGTCCAGTCATGTCTCCAAATATTTTATCCCATCTCCTGTGTCATTCAACTGTGTCCACATCTTGTAATATGTTCATATTAGAAGGGAAAATAAATAGATTTTAGGACCCCATTCTCTATTCAAATTCAACTCTCAGTAGCTGATGATTGGAACTTATCTTCAATACTATTCTTTACTCTTCAAGATACTTGCTTTTCTCCTGAAGGAATCCTCAGTTAATCCAAAATAGGGTGTCTCACCTTTCCACCCAAATTAAAAAATTCCTCCAATGAGTCTAAAGTTATTGCCTTTGAAGTTAGGGCCAATACAATACTACGTTAAACATAAAATCTTTTCTGTATCTTCTTTCTGGATAGTGAACTGTCCTGCAAGCAGCTTCGTCACAGGGAACGGGTCGTCACTACCACTGTATGCCTGTACACTGGGAGACAAGTGAGTGATGTTTAACAATCCATTTGCCACAAAACTTTGAAGTGAGAAATTGATAGAAGTATGGAGGTACCTGGGAAGAGCCTTCAAAATGGCAAGCAAGATATTATGGAGTCATTATTGCAATTTTAAATGAAAACATAAAAATAATGGGATAAAACTAAGAAATTGGAGAACAAATGATTAGGAATTCAAGGTAAGAATTAAAGTTAGGAAAGGCTAAAACATTTAATTCCAATAGCAAATCATCATTCATCTAAATAAGAACCTAACCATACGTCCTTAGATCTTTCCAGTAGGAGTTTCATCATTTAGTCACATGTTATGAAGCTTAGGAGTACAGGCATTAGAGTCAGCCCATGGTCAAGGGTTCTGTAATAAAATTGTGTAAGCTTCAGTTTCCTTTTTAAAATTTGTCTCCCATAGGCTTATTTTACACCAAACATTTTCATAAATTCATTACAAAGATTGATTCATCAAATACTTATAAAGACATGATGAGGTAGAAGTTAACTAAAAACCCTGGCTACAGGTGGGCAAAATAAGACTCACAGATATTAAGCCCATTGCCCAAGGCCTATACGTGGAAAATGAAGAGTCAGGCTGTGAGATTCAGGCTCTGCTTTTAGTCACCATTACTGAGGATGACATAGGGTTTGACCAAAATAACTTTCAACTACCTACTGAACAATAAACGCCCAGGAAGTAGCAGTGGTTGTGTGTTCGCATTTGTGTACAGTGGCCGTGGTAGTATTTCTGACCCTAATGCTATTTCCAGAATGAACACACCGGCGTGTGATCCACGGTGTATCAGGCTGGCTTCCGAGGGTGTGGTAGGAAGTGGCACTGCTGATCAGTAGGTGGAGCTCTTTCCTCTGCTTCTATACTGTATTTACCCTGACACACACACCAGCCACCACCTCCCCACCTTCATGTTTGAAGTAGGGGGATGTTAGCTAGGTCAAATATTAAACTGAAACTCCATCAGCTCCATCATAAAACTTTATGGCTTTATATATAAAGCTTTATATATAAAAAGTCTCTGATAACATTGAAAGTGTCTGTATTTTACCATTCTGTACGGACCAAAAAAAATCTATACAGTCTTATAAAGCTCATTTTGTACCACCATTCAGTTCAATAAAGTTAATTATATGTGCTATGTGAAGACTGGTAAAGAATAACATAAATATGCCGTATTATGCATGGAAGAACTGTTACAAAGTGCTTGGACTTTATACTTAATTCCTCTCAAACTGTGTTCACATAAATTTATAACTCTGAGTAAGGCAAGTCTAGAATGGTAAAGCCATCTTGCAGAGTAGGACAGTGAAGGTAGAGACAGATGAAGTTAGATGAGTAGGGAAAAGATATCATTGGCATATAGGTTTTGGATCCTTCGGTAGTGCCTTCCCCATAATATAATACTGGCTGTCAGTGAGGCTCTGTTGGTGACCATTTTTTCCCCTCTTCTCTTCTGTGCTTTTCTGAACTTTTCATATGGCCGTATCAAGAGGCAATATAGTTCAGCGATGAGAACAACAGATTTGAATCATGCCTCTACCACTTAAGAATAATGTGAGCTTGGAAAAATTACTTATTTTGTGCTTTAGTTTTATGTATCAGGGATACAAATTGGATCTGATTATAAGATTGTTGAGGGGACTAGATAATTTGATCCAGGCAAAGTATTTAAAGCAAGCGCTCTCTCTTAGAATATAGGCAGCAACTGTGAAAAATTATGCCTATTTTTTCTCTTACTCTTCCCCTTCCTGCTCTCTCCAGCCCAAAAATATTTTTGGAGTCCTTATGTGGAACCAAGAAGCCACTGAAGGGGACACTAGAAGAATAAGGCCGAGATTTAAAGTTCAACTTTTGATTAAGCCCCTAGAAATAGAAAAGATGTAGCCACAGTCATCAAGGAGTTCAAGGGAGAGAGGAGGAAGAGCAAGTGCACAGAGAATTATCACTGTCAGCAGTGTACTTGTGCTTTATTTCCCCAGTGGGAGCAACTGATCACTCATTCATTAAACAAATGCTTATTAAGTGCATATTCTCCTCAGTACACACTGCTAAAAGCAGAGGAAATTAAAAATAATTGTGAGTCAGATATGGATTCCACCCTCTGACCACCAAAACCTAATTCAAGAAACAAGAAATGTAATAAAGAAAAATAGAAACAGAAAATATATATCAGAAGGAAGGCACACATTTCTTTTGTAGCACAGCCATACAGTGAAATAACTACGACACAGACGGTGGTGATGCTACAATCTCACTTGGAAAAAATTCATCAACATAGAAGATTATCAATAAAGGCAAAATGTGAGTGCAATGAGGAACAGTTTTTAATACCTTCTTTCTTTGGTATTATAATAAAATATTTAGTAAGAGAAATCTTTCTGAAGAAAAAATTATTGCCTCCCATCATTTTGCTTGGAAGTTCAAATAATCCTTTTTCAGGCAGCACAGTTTAGTGAACAGACAGTGAAAGGGGCAGAGAGGGGTTTTTATCCTTGTTCTTACTGGACCTTAAATAATTCATTTAACTTCTTAGTAATCACTTTTTATTTATAAAATGGAGGTTATAGAATCTGTATGGCCTCAATCTCAAGGATACGAAGACACGATGAAATAGTAAACAGGAAAGTTCTGTAATACAAATTCTACTAAAAGTGGGTAGCTATATAAGCCAAAGTGTAGAAAACTGGACTAAGACTTTGTTATTGGCAAAACAGAGGTCATTGCTCCATGTAAGCACAAATATCATGTTAGACTCTCACGCTCAACACAAGGCCTTTTCATTCTTATTTTGGAATTTCCTTCCCAAAGCATGGGACCATGCTTTGCAGATGATAAAGATGCAGTTAATTTATTAATAGAATGGTTGTTAGAAGTTATAATAATTTTAAGAGATTAGGCAAATACAATTTTAATTTACTTGTTATATATAAATAAATTCGAATCTCATTCCATTTATACTAGTAGCAGTTGCTGATTCCATTCCTGTATCTGAGCACCACTGAGCATTATACTGCTCTCTACACTTTCTTTATCAACCACAGAGCACAGCATGCAGAAAAGCATGTGATTCTAAATAGTTATAATTTTAAAAGAGTGATATCAATGGTCTGAAAACTAACCTTGGCTTGACCCTTATTCTCTTATATCATTTGAGTTATGGTTTTCAGGTGGCCTCCTGCGTGGTAGGCACAGGGTGGAGACTCCTGATGGTTGTACTGACCTGAATTCAAATTCCCAAGGCAAAATTTTGGACCTGGACTTCCAGTTACTACACAGTGTGATTACTAATGTTTTAGGGATCATGTAATTTACAAGAATGTCGCTAACAAATGAGGCTGGTAATTAAAAAGATATTATAAGGATTCCTTTTAGTGCTGTTGAATACTTTGGCGTGTTCAGATCATAGAAGATGTCAGAACACAAAGTGTAATGACTACAAACTAAAGTGTCGCATCTTGATTTACCTACTGATCAACTGTTAAAAAAATTTAAAAAGCATGGCACAATCACAACTTTTTCATTTCAATTTTCTTTTTTAAAGTCTAATTTGGAGAGAAACCTAGTGCAATTTTCTATAGATCCTTTGCCTATTTTATATTGAAATTAAGATCCTAGACAAGAAAAGGAAACTGAGAACCTGCAAGAAGAAAAATCTGCAGAAATAAACAATTATACTTAAGAAATACAAGAATAAAATAATGTATTGAAGTAACTCAAAGAGTTTAAAAAAATATCATTGCTAACTGTCATCTCAAAACCTAGGTAAACAGAAGAGCAATAGGCCAGCATTTCACAGTTCTGGTACTGCAAAGCACAACGAATGTAAAGATGCTGACTTCTTCAGTGTTTCCCTTTTAAAACCCAAACTGTCATTAAATGATCCCTTCAGCTATCATGAGGTATTAACAGGAAACTGAATTCAAGGCTGGGACTTGAAGGCCTATGAGCTGATTGCCCTGCCCACAATGCCAGTTCAGGGCTCTAAATGAAAAGAGAAACTTGTTTCTTCACCATACCTTGTTAATATTCAAATCACAGAGTAGATTACTCAGTGTAATCTTTCAAAGACCCTAGTATGCACAGAGAGATGAACAGGGTAATGACAAGCTGTGTGGTTGATTTCCTATACAAATAGTAGCAGGGAATCATTTTCATATGGTGAGCTGATATGTGCCAAGAATCTAAGATGAAAAGGAAGCAATATAAGTATTAGCAACAGCAAGTGAGGCTAGAGGTAAGCATTTTTAGAATTAAAACTCAAGAGTCAGGCCTGGTGGCTCATACCTCTAATCCCAGCACTTGGAAGACTGACGGAGGAGGATTGCCACGAGTTTGAGGACTACATAGTGAGCTCAAGCCTAGTCTGAGTTACATAACAAGACTCTGTCTCAAAAGGAAAAAAAAAATAACAATAGTAATTAAAAGCTAATGCAATCTCCCTAGGTCTACTCTGTGTGCCATTAAAGTTGAGGACCTAGCGGGAGCACTTAACTAGGTTGAAGAAAAGTCTTCAACCAGCCTTCTCTCTACTTCCTGCTCTACTCCTGCGCCGTCTCTATAATAGAAAGGGTGTATTTTACTAGCTTACAATGATATCCAAAGAACTGTCCCTGTTTGTTACCACTTGCAGTTAAAAACACCATACAAATGGAAAAGATGATATACTTCAAGATTTATTTGATAAGGATGCTTTTATTTTAAATTTTTTCTAAGCTAGCTAGTCAAAAGTGGACATTTGTGTAACTTCTATGGGGAGGAAGGATCTATAAAATAAGGTGGAAACAATGTCAAAAACTAATTCAGGACTCCGTTTGATTTGGCAATTGGAGAAAGGGATGATACAAACAAAAAATATATAGAAGTGCTAGAAATTCTTAGTTATCATTTATAGCTAAAAAATAAGTTATTTTAGTCGGAAGTTTTTACTTACTGAAGTCACCATACCTTATTGCTTGTTTGGGTTTTGTTTGTTTGGTTTTGTTTTTTGGAGGGTTTTTTCTTTTTTTAAGACATAGTCTTGCTATGTCACCGAGGCTACCTTCAGATGGCCGGAAGCCTGCCTGAGCCTTCTGAGTAACAGGTTCTGGAGTAGTTTGCCAGTGGACTTGGTCACCAGTTCTTATCATAAATAAAAATGCTCAACACGAAAAGCTTGATGGAGGTAGACGAATCTCTGAAAATTTGGTAAACTCTTTGGGATCTTGCAACACCTCTGTATCCTTGTAATAAAGTATAATCACAATTATTTGGGTTCATAGGTATATCAGATACCACATAAGCAAGGAGAATCTCTATTATTACTGACTTAATATGCCCTGCGTTGTTTTTTTCATTTTTAATTCTTCAGTACTACCTTGCTTATTTCTCATTTGTTTTTAGTCAACACAGATTTCAGAAAACATAAGCTACAATTGCACTGGTGGATTTGGTTACTGGGATCTAATTAATTGATGAAAGATCCAGGTTCTTGGTAAGGAAGGTGAACGGACATGGCAGAGGGATGGTAGTGCTCTACATGCCAGTGACCAGCCATGGCCTTGAGTGATGCCCTTAAACTCCTTGGAAAGCAGATTCTCCATCAATTTAAAGAAAAGGATAACAAAAGTAACCTCCTTACCCTTTCACATTAGTGGTTTTATGGTATTTCATTGTGAAAGCTTAAAAAAATGTAATTCAGTGGGAAGATGGACTAATTAGAATTAGGATGTTGGATTTTAGTTGTCGATGCCACTAACCGACTGAGTGACCAAGCCAAATTAACCTTTTCTTAAATAGGAAAGAACACGAAGAAATTAAATTATGGTTTTAAAAGCTGAGTGATTTCATGCAAGCCACTTATTAATCTTTCTGGATCTCAATTTTCTCATCTAAAATATGAAAGTGCTTGACTAAATAATATCTGGAATCTTTTAGCTTTACATTTCAATGTGTCTGTATCATTACAAAAATATTCGACAACTTCTATTTTCTAGAGTTTTGCAATATCACAATGATAGACAAACAACTGTTTTCTATATTAATCATTATAAAAATTGATTAATTGGCAGTAGAGAACTTCCAATCTGTTCACTTGTGACTCATCAAAATAATTAGTATTGCCCAGGTGCTCTTTGCTAGGAAAACCAAATCTTGTTGAGGAGACATTTCATTCATTTATTCATTCAATATCTAGTCATTGAATTTTTCTGCTTCCTTAAATGATGACTAAATCTCTTGACCAAAATATATGCCACTTTAAAAAGCAAAACACTTACCGTCTTTGTGCTTCTGTAACTATAAAATCGTGACCACAGATACTTACCTCCTCTCTGGAAGGGCTTTGATGACGCATGCCATTTGTAAGGTGCACTGAGGTCCTAGAGGGAAGGCGCTCCATCTGCAGCAGAGTGTAATTAACATTACGAGTTTACCAAAAGAAACATAAGAGTCATTGTTAAAGAGCATCGTGGGGGCTGTCCCAGCCTTTAGTCATAAGACATCTCAGATGTAGAAGGTAATAATTTGTAATAGCTTCTAAAAGTAACTTGGTTATGAAGAGTTAGTTGTTTTAAAACACGCACGGGCTTTTTATTAATTAGAGAAGTAGCCATGGTGATGTATTCAGCATGCTTTATTTTTGAACTAATAAGAAAAACAAGTACCATGCTCCAAAGGGAGCACTGGATTCTATGACAATTAAAGAAGGTAAAATTCATATGAATCCTGGGGTCCTCTCTGGAAGGCAGAGAGAGCTGTAGACCACTCTCAGGGATTCAGAGATGATCATCAAATGGATCCTTCTGAAGGCACTATTCTATCTGCTATTATTATGTGATTCAACAGTCCATGAAATTACCTTGTTGAGGGGTTTGGGCAAAGGAGTAGGGAATGAATAGGCAGAGAACAAGACACTTTTAGCAGTAAAACTATTCTGTGTGTTACTGTAACGATGGATGCTTGGTATGTGTGCATTTGTCAAAACTTACAGAGTTGGACAACACAGAGTGAAACCTCATGTCAACTGTGGACTTTAGTAAATAATAATACATCAATTTTGGTTCACTGATTAGAAAAACATGCCACACTAAATCAAGACGTTAATGGGGAAAACTATGTGCCGCTTGTGGGAAAAGGAGGTAAGAAACTCTTCTCAGTTTTTCTGGAAACTTTCAACTGCTCTTAGGCCAGGGATTTAGCTCAGTGGCCTAGGTGCCTGCCTGGCAAGCAAGGTTGTAAGTTCAATCCCTGGTATCAAAAAAACAAAACAAACAAAACAAAAACCTGCTCCTAACAAGAAAGTTTATTTAAAGAATTAAAAATCACTGTTCCAAAAAGGAAAGGAAAGATTTCATGTTACTACACGCACATTCAATTTACACAAAGAGAGCCAAGAATGTTTTATACATTTGAAAACACTCATGATAAACCTATATTACAGGAATCAAGTCTATATGGGAATCAAGTCTAATAATAACTATTCCTCTAACCTAATGTACAAGTGATGTATTCAAAAGAACCGACAGTATCACAGAGCATTTTATACATCCAGAGAATGAATTGGGGTATTGGTTTTAAAAGTAAGTATCAGTGATAATCACCATGGAATTTATACTTCTATTCCTCAACCCACAACAAAAGACAAAGTGTTTTATTTTACATTATATATTTTTTTCCATGTATGGTTATGCACACCTGAAATGTCAGATTCACAGAAGGCTGAGGCCGGAGGATCACATGTTTCAGGCCACAGAGCAAGACCCTGTCTCAAAATGAAATGAAAAGATCCTGGGGATGTAGCTTAATGGCCAGGATGAGGCCTACCTGAAAAAAAAAAAGATAGATTTTTACCAGTGTACATACTGTCATAGGTAAATGGGAGGGGAATAGCAAATCAAACACACAATTGAATTCTGTGTTCTGGATTTTTTTGTACTTCCTATTCTGGGAATCTCATAATGCAAGATTTAAATGTCATGGGAAAGCAGAAGTAACATATTGTTCTCTCAGGTAAGTCATCGAGAATCAAATGGTTATGATACAGTAATACTACTTTATATTTATGCAATGCTTTTATGCCCTGAGTCATCTCAAGAACTGGTTGTTCAGTTAAGTTATAAAAGATAATGTCAGTTACAACAAACCATTGTGTGAATATTTTAAGGATCGCCAGAGTCTAAAAACTTTTAAACTCTGTACTGACTACATACCTTTGTGGTCCATTTGTGGATGCATTTGTCTTATGAGTTCGTGGGTGACACTGAAGTATCATTCAGAGCATTCTGAGGTGGCCAACCAGGCAAAATTAAGAAATAGGTCAAATTTGACTTTGTAACATCTGCAGGGATAGTATTTCTTTTGTTCTTAGAAATAGATTTTTGGTTCTGACACTGCCTGGGGACTTTTCCTTCTGGCCCCTAACACATTTACTACTCCTTGGCCAGGCTGATGGATGACTTTGAGGACAGGATCCTCCCTGTGGTGCCCTACCTTGGGTTAGCACACCTCGTTGGTCTTCCTATAACTCCCCCAATTTCATCCACTGTTCACTCACTCTTTGTTCATTTATTTGCTCTTCCACTCATTTGCTCACCTGATCGCAAGCATTCAAAGAGTACATGTTCAGCGCTGATGAGAAACTAGACACCAGGTTAGACTCTGGAATCCTTCAAGTTAAAAAAGAAAAGAAGTATGGTCCTGGGCTCATGAAGTTTACAATCTACCTAGAAAAACAAACACAAACCCCACAAGTGAATATTTATTAGAATCTAAGGTTTACAAAGGAAGACACAAACATACACAATAGAGAGAAATAACTTGCCAAGGTGGGAGGCAGACAAGAGAAATTTAAGTCTCTATGTTTGTTATTCGTTCTAGCCTGTCCTCAACATGCTGAAACCTGCCAGTCTTGTATCTCAAGTCTTGAGCACAAATCACCCTATTCCTCTTAAAGATGAATTATATAATCAAGTAAATTTGTTGTACTACTAATTACTCTGCAAAAATCTTTTGCAGATACCTTCAGAAGAACTTCTTCTCTGAATACCTCATATGTTCCAGTCAAAGAAGGCATCAAGATGCTCTGGGATCTGTAGACCAGTATCTCTAGCTGGGGGAATGTGAGGCCAATTGTGATGTGAAAGCCCGTGAATGGGTGGTTTGACAGAGCGGTTCATGCTGCAGTCAGCTACCTCTGTCATCTTTACCAGCACTGTAATCCTCAGGTCAGTGTCGCAGAGACAAGGAGGGCTATTACTGGTACATGCCAGCTCTTGAAATTTGCCCATAAATAAAAAAAGTTCTGAGAACACCACAGTAATTCATCTTAATGGTGGTGACCTTAGGCCACAGCTTTGTTGATCTTCATATAAGGTCCTCAGAGTTATCTCTTGGCCTTGAGCCACCTGATGAGATAGTCTTTATTGAAGCCATAAAAGCCAGAAAGATTCAGCAGGGTATTGATCAGCCAGCAATCAGGATCCTTCAGGCACAATTGTGAGGTGGCAGCAATTTAAATTCAACTCTGAGTGTCTCCATCCTAAACACCGTATAGCACAGAGAAGAGCTCATCAGGTGTTACCTATCAGATGCTCAGAAGTGTGCCTAATGATGTCCTACTAGTCACAATGATGTCCTCCCCTCCTAGCCAAAATTCATCTATCCTCTGTACCATTCTCCCCAAAGAATCTCATAGTACAGTTAGCTATCACATCAACCAAGACCTCAGCCAATGCCACTATTAATATACAGAATGATGAGATGTGTTGTACCCTAATACCTTTTTCCTTCTCTCTTCTTTACATTTCAATTTTTCTGGGCCTTGGGACTTTTTTTTCTAACATGAAGGAATTGGCCTGGTCCAAAAAGTATGGCTTCCACTGATGGATTTCTCCTTCTGGGAATCATGTTTGTGGTCTTGCAACTCCTCCCAGTCATCCAACCATGGGTGACCTAGCAAGGTATTTCATAATTCTTTCTCTCTTCTCCCACACTTTCCTCCTCTCTCTCTCTCTCTCTCTCTCTCTCTCTGGCAACTTTTTGTTTCTTTATCTCTATCTCTGGCAATCTTCTCTGTCACTACAACACTGTACTCCACTTATAAATTCCTCAAAGGCACCCTGTTTTTCTAGACCTCAAAGATGTGTGTATTCTATCATTTCTCCCTGGAAGAAGACTCTGTCATATCTTATATGCCACTTTTTCTTTCTTTAATTTGGAAATATTTAAAATATACAAATAATAGAAAGTAATATTATAGGCACTCATTTACCCAGTGCCCAGACTTAACACATATTAACATTTTGCTGTTTTTCACAAATCTCTTTTAAACAAGATACACATGACAGAGCCAGTTGAATACCCTCTCTTTAGTCTATCCCCTTCATTAGAAGAAAACAGCATTCTGTAGTATATGTTTCTATTGATAATTTATAAAGCCAGTTCATTCATTAAACTTCTGTGTCTGTTATATGAACATACCATAGTTTAATGATTCATTTAAGAGTAGGTAGCTGCATGAGTAGGTAAATGTACATCTAGGTATTATCAAATTGAGCTTTTACAAATCCCACCACAGGAAACATCTCAAATATTTCTTTGAGTACATATGAGAGAATTTCCCTGAAAAAAGAATGTCTCTAAGCATAAAGTCACTGAGTCATGAGCACTAAATACGTTCAAATTTACTGGATATTTACAAGTCATATAAATGATTAAGTAGTAGTATACAGAATGTATAAGGAATTGCCAAAAATAAGTGAGGAAAAACAAATTACCCAATGAAATAAATAGGCAATTGATTGCTATTAAACATTAGAAATATGTGTGGCTCAGTAGTAATCCAGGGAAAATCAAATGAAAACAAACCAGCCCAAAAAGTAAGGCACTATTTTATAGTTACCAGAGTGGCTGTAGTTAAAAAGCCCAACAACAAAACAACAACAACAACAACGGGCTGGGGCAGCAATTACAGGACACGGCCTATATGAGGGTAGTGACTTCCTCTGCTGGGCCTTAGCTATTCCAGCTTGAAAATGAAGATGACCCTAGAGACACTGTAAGCCTTCCTCTCTCTGTTCTATTAAACATGGTCCTGCCAACTCTGGACTCAGCTATATGGAGTAGAGTAGACAGATGATCTTTCTTACCCAGCAAACAGCTCAGGTCCTGCTAGTACTGATGGGCCCTGTTTTGGTGGATTTATTTGTTCTTGTTTTCTAAATGTTTACCGTCTACCTGCTAGATAGTAGACACTTTCCATGTCACTGTCTTTATAGGATTTCCAGGATAATGAAAAACAGAAATTTCTAAAGAAACAAGCATGTCCACAGAGATGCCTGCCAGCATGTGCAGGAGTGTAGGGGGACAGTAGGAGGAATGACAGGCAAGGGAAGGATTCCTAAAGTCACCAAGTCTACAGGAAATTTGAAGGGCAAGCACCATCATCTAGGGATAAAGTGGAGCAGACACAACCAGGTAGAAGATGACAAACACCAAGAGGGAAAAACGGAAAGTAAAAGAAGACATTCGGTAACTGAGAGGTGACATGGAAAGTGTGGATGGTTAAAAATAATGAGTAAAGGTGAATAAAGTCCAAAAACATACAGGATTTGTAAACTATATTAAAGTGCTTTGTTGTTATCCTAAGAACAAGGAAAAGCCATTATTGTTTCTAGGGAGAAAGGAAGGTTGCATTTCAGTTGAGGAAGGTCAGTCTCCAGATGGAGGGAAGGAGCCCAGCTGATAACCCAAACAGGAGGTGACCCAGAGCTAGGCGCTGAACTTGCCAAAGAGGCTGTGGTGAGATGGGTTAGATCACACAGTCAATAGTCCATGGTCTAACTGGATGTGTGAATTAAGGAAAGGAAAAGAAGGCTTTCCTGGCAGAGGTGGTACTGCTCTTTGAGATGCAGGTCACAGATCACAGCGGTGTGTGCTGATGTCAGACAGGCTGAATCTGAGGTACCTGGAAGACATCTGTGTGCAGGTGGGTAGTAATTGGCTGGACAAAAAATTCTGAAATCCGAAAAACAGTGTTGCCTCAAGATTTAGACTTGAGAATCATCATAGACCTGACAGTTGAAGCTCTACAAATAAAGAATACTAGAACATCTAAGATGAGACAAACAGCCAAGAGACTAAGATTCTGTCAGCGGGATAGAAGAGAAAAGGAGAGTGCAGTTTTCCACATGCACATTTCTGTGTGCCCAAAACAGATGCAATATGCAACGGGATCACTGACTGCGGAGAACCACATGAATTTTCTGTCTACAAATAAACAGAATGATTTTTTTTAAATGACGATTGCTTAAATTAAAAGACAGTGTTGCCATTAATCTCCCTTGAATATACCCCATCTCTTCAAACATGCTTTTCCCACAGTTCTTGCCATTTTCTGAGGCGGTTCTAGAAGTCCTCTTTTGTGAGTATCTTTAGTTGCGCTGTCATGAATGCCTGATGCCTTGAATCCATTTAAAAATCTACTTTTCCCAGTCATTTTGACTTTGAGGAAGAGCCAGAATCACACAGCGCCAGATCCAGTGAATAAGACGGATGAGGGTACACTGCCATTTTTTTGTTTCCGCAATGGGATAGTACTGGGCAACAGCAGCCACCTTGTTTTTGATATTACCTCAAACCGTTACTCACAAAAGACGACTTCCAAAACTGCTTCAGAAAGTGGCCAAAACATGAGACAAGTGTGTTTAAGTGTGGATTTAAGAGGGATCAATGGCAATATGTTTCTCATTGTAATAATATTTTAACTAAAACATCACACTTCGTAGAGTAATTAATTCTTCTCTAAGGTTGGTACTAACACTAACAGCTTTTCAGGGAAGTCTCATGGTAGTTTGTGGTCTTATCCTCTCCTAGCACTGACTTTAAAAGATAAAAATTCATGGCCACATTTGAGGCATTGGGGTGGTCTGTGGCAAATTTGCACATAATTTCTGCAGGTTCTTAGAAGTACATATCCTAGTAGAAGGAATCAGCTGTGGATTCACCATGCTTGCAACTCATATGTGCTTAGTCTTAGCATGAGCGGCAACTCCAAGTCGACTTTCTTGGTAATGCCAAGCAACAGTTGCTGGGCCATGCCATAAAGAGAGATAAGAAAATTTTCCTTGTTAACATCTATTGAAATTTCTAAGATGCAGAATGCAGTGGCACCTTTAGCAATCTAGCCAAAATGATAAGGGACAGTCTTTCAATTTTAGGAGAAAAAAAAAAAAAAAAAAACAGCTGGAAATTGTGCTGGAACCTGGTTCACGATTACCCAGAACTCTTTATGACTTCTAAATACACATTTACCCAGGTACTGCGCTGGCATTGCTAACTCTGCACTGCCCCTACAGAAGAGTGGAGCTCCGCTTGTTCTCCAGCTAGTGCCTCTTAAATGCTTTGCCAGTCTAGTCAGCTACTCACTAGCCAAGTATACATGTCACCATTCAAATAAAGGAATTGATTTTGTAGCTTTAATGTAAAAAATGAAAAAAAGATCTCTGACTTTCATGCTGTCTTCCTACTACAGGTTGCAAAGGTGGTCACATGTGGTATCTGCCAGTAATTCTGCTTCTAAAGCAAATATCAACTGAGGTAATATCAATGGAGGAAGAAATGTATGAGGGAACGAAAAACAATGTAGGCTCCCAGGGAAAAGGACATAGAGCCCTAATCTCCCAGAAATATTTCCAAGCTTTGGGAGGGGAATACAGTGACAACGCACGTCAAAGCATTGTCATTTGAAAGTTATGCTTGAGAGGTAAAGAGGGGTAAAAAGGTGGGCACTGTTTACAGAAATTTTCAGTCATGTTTTCAAATCACTCTTGGGTTTCAGGTGCTGAAAGGTCTGTAGGCCGGGGATTTATGCATAATCAGATCATTCAAAAACATATAAATGGCTGCCAGAGCAAAGTACAATGTTCACTTTTGAAATCACAAAAAAAGCTTTGTTTTAAGCAGACTGAATTGACTAAAGTTTAGTTTCAGTGAAGCATGTTTTTGCTTTGGGTGTCATTATTTGGTTTGGCATCTAGGCCAAGGAAACCTTTTTCTTACTTCAACTGTTGTTTTTCTTCTGCTGCTACAACTGTGAAAGTTGAGGCAAGATTCTGATGCTACATATTTAAATGAGAACAGGCTCCTGTTTACCTTTGATTCTGATAAAAGGAGTGGGGGAGCACGGGGTCTTGACTGCTTGCCAGGACTTGTAAAGCTGATAGTTGTGTGCCTTGTCTCCAGAATAATCTGGAAAATCAAGTTTAACTGGTTTGATCAAAGAGTTTGCAAGTCAGTTGAGAACGCTTGCATGCAATAACTATAGATACTGTATACATCCACCAGCCAAAGGCCGAAAAGCTAATAGCTCTGCCAGAGATAAAGGATTATGTATGTTATGCTCGTGAATACCAAAGGAAAAATCTCTCCATTTTAATGTTAGTGGTGAACGTTTGCACTGGTTAGAAATTCAGACAAACAAAATACTCTAAATCTTAGGGACTTAAGTCATGACGAAAATTTTGTTTCAAATCCTGCTGTTATCTGCCCATTTAAATCCTGTGTAGAGTGAGCAAATCAACTCCACACTTCCTGTTACTGACAGTTCATCCAGAGAGAGTAGTTTAAATAGGTACAAGGTGACATTACCTCATTCTTTGTGCAGTCCTTTCTTCATCCAAACCTCACTGTAACACCTGTAAGGACAAGACGGTTTTGATTGAGATTGATGTCATCAGGCCTGGCACACATTGTTTTTCAGATCCTTTTGGGCAAGTCAGTCATGCAGTGAGGAAAAAATTTCATGTTCTTTGCCAAGAAATGATTCCCTGGATCTGAAAACTGTGTGTCTCGACATGAGAAATTTTAAAATTTAAAACCAAAAATATTCCTCAAATCATTTGCATCTGGTTTTTCTCATGAATCAACCACTGCGCTGGATCTCACAGGCTTATTTCTAGTCCTGTTTTTTTAATTTTGACTTAAGTTACTCAAGAAGCAGTGTCTTTGTAAGACCATAGACAACAAATTACACACTCAGGAAGTAGTCCCTTCTTTGAAAGGTAGTATTAAATAATGCCTTAAAAAGCTGCAGCATTGATTGATAAACCACTCAATTCCACGCGGAGTGAGGAATATTATGCATGTGGGCAGGGATGGTCGCTTCAACTGCTTCTGATGTCCTGAGCTTGGCACTGTATTAGTTACTGTTGAGAAGTACCATGAAACTACTGCTGGGAAAATTTTAAATACACTCACACACACACACACGCACACACACGCACACGCACACACACACACACACACACACACACACACACGGCCCACTGACTTGGCACTAAACAAAATTACAGGTGCAGTGGTGACATATGTAACCAAATCTGTCAGACAAGTCACTGAATATTATATGCCATGCACAACAATAGGCAATGCATTATTCAGGTTTTGCACTAATTAAAGAACTACCTTGTTGCTAAGAATCAGTGTATTACAAACTTACGTTCTTATTAAGCATGTTCCCAAGAATTGGAAAGATGAGAGTTGGATCTCAGGTTTCAGGGCACTATTATTAGGCTCTCAAGGTATTTTCTTTACTCGCGTGCATTTGAAGAGAAAGCCTGGAGTCCACGCCACATAAACAAGGTCTGATTGTGCTTTCAATGGACGTCATGGGACTTTCCTTCTTTCCACCTTGTTTTTCCTTCTCTCCCTACCAAATTTCTCTTCTTGGAATCAGGACCTAAACCGAAGTTAAACATCATAAAGAAATTTACTCAGGTAAAACAAACTGTTATGGACTGAAAAGCATTTTTACAGTGTAATCTGCATTTTTGTAAGTCCTGGTGGAAAATCCCCAATGATTGAGTGGTACTTAAGGCTTGAAAAATACACATTCCCCATGAAGTTCTCAAATGGTGAAGGAGACAAAGGGAAAGAAAATGCATGTATCTGACCCATCAGTCCTTTGACTTCAGAACAAAAGACTGCTTTTGTGGGCCACCCTGATCTTTGGCTTCAGGAACTCAGCAGACCCTGTCTGCTGTCCGTCTCTGCTCCCAGGACCCCTCCTCCTTGTCTTTCCCGTCATTCCTTCCCTGACCCTCTCAGATCCTCTTGTCTCTTCAGTCCTCCAGCCTCACCCCAACCTCAGGTTTTACTTGTTAACACATACTTTTATTTCTCAGCACTCACTTATCTAAATTACTTCTTTATCAGACTCTCTGATGGGGCCATGGTGGGACAAGCGTTTCTCCTTCCCTTACCCTAACATCCAGAGCCCTGGAGCTTCCCTTTCTTTTGTTTTCTGATTTTTGAATATTAGACTGAGTGTGCAAACGAGAGAGGAGGATTCAAAGGCACTTTTTCTCATTTGCACTTCTATATACTTGTTTTGAGTGAGAATGAGGTGAAATTACAGTTAATTTGCCAGAAATTATATACTCACATGACAGCATAGACATCCTGCCCTAGTGTGAACAATAGGAAAGCTTTGAGAGCTACAGCTAAGGTAGGTTACTCTGTCTTACTTTTACAGTTAGTAAAAATGCTCTATATTCCCCACTTCTTGAACTTGGTCAGAAGTTACTTACTCCGAAGCTTTTTCCCTACTCCTTTGCTTCCTCCCTTTCTGGTTTGTAGAATCCAACACTTGCTTCCACCTTCCTGATGTGTAAAATCCAACATGGGAAAGGTCAGCCCAATCCCTTACCTATCAACACTTGAGATAGCCAATGCCAAAAGTAAAGATCTAACTTCTTTTTCCCTTTAGAATAAAGTCCCTTCTAAAGCTTTTTAATCTAGTTGATACAAAAACAATTCTATATTTTGTCTTAAAGTTATAATTTCACGTAAATTCAGTTTTGTTCATAGACTCGCCAACCAGCCCTTTATCCAGAGAACTAACGATTGTGGCACTCTCTTGGGCTTATTCTATCACAGATTTAGTCAGTCACAAATTGGCTCATATTTGGAAGCTAAATGTTGATTCTCACACCTGCAACCTAAAGCTTCTCAGGCCGTCTCAGTCCCAGGTATGCATGCAATTTTCTTAATAAGATACCCCTAAAATTGTTTAGGCATCTCCTTAACAATTTCTATCATCTTGTTATAAATTACTCCAATAACAATGTTGAAATACCACCAAATGGCATACTTTATTCTTGAGCATACATTTCTGGATTGTAAATCTATCAAAGACTTACATCCACGGTAGTCCTAAATATAAACAGAATTTTCTTAGAGACATTTGAGGTCTAATATACACTAAACCGAGCCAGTATTACTTCGCTAGTTTTTTACCTGGTTCTATACCCCTTTTAATGCAGAATATTTTTCATAAGTCTTTACCTTAGAGCATGTGTTTCTTGAGCTACAGATGGGGACCATAGCTGTCTGCCATCTACTTCTATGTAAACCCACCTTGCAAGCAATGAATCTAAGACAAAGCCTCTCACCGAGTCTCCTGTGTGGCTAAGTCCTGTGGTTTGGAGCACTCTATGCATGGTATGATTCAAATGTTTTACAGTCATCACAAATAGAGGGACATATGCTGCCAGAGGGGTGGGAGTCACCTCTAAATGTTTATTAGAGTTGACTTTTGTTGCTGTTTTTGTTGTTTTTGTTATATTAGGAATTAAGCCCAGAGTCTTTGCTCTGAGCTGTATCCTCAAGTTTTTTTAATTATTATTTTTTAAATTTAAACACAGGATCACAAAGTTGCTGAGTCACAAAGTTGCTCAATCAGATCTCAAACTCGCAATCCTCCTGCCTCAGTCCCTACCCCCAGAGGGTTGGATTACAGGGGTGCACCACCACACCTGGCTGGTGATAACTTTTGAAGGATGATCAGAAAACACCCCAGAGGTAATTTCAGGCATGGAGAAAGAACATAATCAAGACAGAATCACAAACCCTATGCCACTCTTGCCTCATTTCCAATTCTACTGTCAATACCTTCCTTCAAATCTCTACCAAGTCCTCACTGGCTTTCAATTTATCTCCTCGGCTCCAGCATCTCTGTCTCCATCCTATTCCCCATAAACATTCATCTTGAATCACTCCCTATCAAGGCTCTGGGCCACCCATAATTAATACATTCCTTAGTATTGCTTCTCTACATGATTTTATTCTTTCCCTGCCAATTGAAGTCCTACTTATCAATTTCTAGTCTGTGAAGACTTCCTAGCTTCTTTGTGTATGATGAATGACACTTTCTCGCATGTCATCACATCATATAGCACTTATCTCAGCCACGCCTTTATTAGACCCAGTTGTGTACCTGTAGCCTCCTCCACAAGACTATAAACTCCTTGAGAACAGGAACTATATTTAATTTAACTGTTCTTCTCTAGTGATGCCCAACATAGTGCTTTGTAGGTAGCAGGTTCCCCATTATTATCTATTGAATTGAACTGAATAAATGGTTAGTGAATGAAAATAATTACACATAATTTTATCTACATAATTATAGCTAAGCTGATACAGGTGGGTACTTTGCAATTCTTTTTGTTTCCAAGTTTCAACTTGCTGTTGAATCATTTGTAGATTTCCTGACAGATTATTTTTCATATTACTAGGACTTAGTGGTATAAAAATATGATCTAGTAATTTTACTTACTGTAAAAGTAGTTCCTTAGTTTTGTGATTTGTGTACAGGAAATGTTGTAGCTGGGTATTATTCTTCCATTAGCAAGTAAGGTAATTTCAGTTTTAGGGTGAGATTTTTCTTTTTCTTCTTGAGACCTTCAAATTCAAAAGGAATGATTTTGTTTTTACATAAAGTGTAGATAAATGAATCCTGTGCTGTGCTAATTGAATGTCCCATGCTAAAGTGCAGGTTCTATAATCTCTCTGTAAAACTGAATGATTCGATACAGATGATTCTCTTATCCTAATCCCTTAACGATTTCAACTTTTCTGCAAGTGAATGAGTTCATGATACTAATACTGTTTCTATGAAGCTGCAGATGATTGCAAATAAATGAAATGTTAGAGAATTTTCATTTACTTTGGATCATTCCCATGATGGAAATGCTAGATTTTGGTTTCCTCAGCTTTTTATTTGAGAACTTTATAATAGACTGGGGCCATTTGAGCCAATGGAAGGATTTTATTCATAAACTCTCTGCTCTGTTATTCCTAAGCCACTTGGACTACAGTTTCACTTAGACCAGCCTTATGCCCATGTGAAGACCTCGTGTCGCTGTTCATCTTCCCATTTTATTATACAAACCAGTGCCTCCCAGATTTCAAAACGAACCCATATGCAACTAAATCCAAATGGAAACATAAATAATTAATAATGTTGGTGTCGATTAAAATATAAGCCTTAGTTTAGAAGTACTCATAAAGATTTTAAAGGGTCCTTTTGCTCATTGAATCAACCCAAAAACTAGTGGCCAAAATGCCTAGTATACTAACTGGAAAATGGGATAGACTCACATTCAGAATAATTCCACAAAGTTTCAAAATACTATGATACAATCACAAATGTCATTGACTAAGCAAATATATTGTTCATTAGTATTTATACAGTTAACATAATTACTAACTCTATGTGCTTGAAATATCAAACCTTTTCATTTACCAGTGAAAAAGCCACATTAAAATTAGTGTTTTCCATTATAAATATCAGAAAGCTTTCTGTTTTCTCACCCTATCAAAACTGAAAAGTTTATTCTTTTGATAAAAGTAAAAGTTTCTTATAGAATGGCTTCTCTCTCACAACTCACAGTGTAGGGGGAAAAAATTGCCAGCTGCTCCTCAGACAAAGGACTACTATCTGGAATATATAAAGAACTAATAAAAAAAACCAGTTCCCCCAAATCTAAAGACCCAATCCAAAAGTGGGTATCTGAAATAGACACTTCTTAGACAAAGAAATAGAAATGGCAAATAAGTATATGAAAAAATGTTCAACATCCTTGGTCATTTGAGAAATACAAATTAAGACAACACTGAGACTTCACTTCACCTCAGAAAGAATGACTAGTATCAAGAAATCAACGAGTAAAATATTCTGCCAGGGCTGTGGGGAAAAAGGAACCCTTCTCCACTGTTGGTGGGAGTGCAGAGTGGTGCAACCATTGGGGAAGTCAGTGTGGAGATTCCTCAAAAAACTAGGATTAGAGGTTTCATTTGACCCAGGTATGCCTCTTTTGGTATCTCCCCAAAAGAATAAAAACCATCATACCACAGCAATACACATATCCATGTTTATAGCAGCAGTTTGTAATAGTTGAATCTTGAAAATAGCCCAAATGCCCACCAACTGATGAATGGGCAAAGAAGATACGTTTTTTTATACAGTGGAATACTACTCTTCCATAATGAAGAATAAACCTGAGACATTTCCAGGTAAATGGATGTACCGTGAGGCCATACTCTTAATAAATCGGACCTATGTGTAAATACTGCATTGTTTTTCTGGTGTGAAAACTTGAAAGTGAAAATAAGGTCCAAAATGTATAACAGACACTGTGAAACAGGAAGAAAATGTCCAAATGAGAAAGAAAACTAGGAAAGGAAGGAGGGGGGAAGGAAGGAATGGAAAAGAGATAAAAAATGATGACAGGAGGAAAAAAATGGAAACAAAGCTTTGTAAACAGGGAGGAGAAGAGGGGTTGAAGGGAAAGGAGGCATGAGAGGAAAAAAATCAAATTATATCATGCAGAGGTACAAATTCCCTATAATGAAAATAATCATTATGTATACCTAAAATGTATCAAT